CTGGTCCCTGCCTCTCCTTCACGTGTCTCTTCTGGGCCCTGCCTCTCCTTCAGGTGTCCCCTCTGGGCCTCTGTCACGGCCAGTATCCCACTGGAACTTCTCTCTGCAGCTGTCCTGGCTGCTTCTGTGTCCTAATCAAAGTTGAATTTCCGTGGATCTTACATAAAGCTTCTAGAAGAAAAAAAATTGATAAATTGAGATACATCAAGATTAAATATTTCTGCCTATTGAAAGACTCCCTTAGTAAAATATATGGACAACACTTTGGGAAGAAACTATTTGCTGAACTCCCCAGCTGGGGGCTCACATGCAGAATTTATAAAGAGATGGTGCCTGGTCACCACGACCAACTGCTCCGACTGGGATGACAGCAGAGGCTCCCAGCCAGAGCAGGAGAAGAAGGTGGAATAAAACGTCAAATTAACAGTAAAGACCAAACCTGATGGTCTGACAGAGACTGCAGGAAGCCCCAAGACTCTGGCCCTAAGACACCTTTCTGACGTGTGGAACTACAGCCATTCCTGCAGACCACCTTTCAGCCACACAACAGACAGGCCCATAAAATAAACAATAACACCTGAGAGGAATGTGTTCCGTAGAGCAACCAATTATACAAGATCAAAAGGACAACATTTGTCCAAAAGCAAAGGTGAGAAGGCAGGAAGGTGCAGAAAATCCAGAGGAAGGGAAATGGGGACCCAGGGCGAGAATGGGAAGAGTGTTGACACACGGGGGAGGGGTGCCGTCGACACCATGGACACTTTACGTACAAACTGTCAAACAAGGAATTAATGTGCTCTTTAGACTTTCACCTAAAGCTAAATAAAAAAATTAAAAAAGAATTTATGAAGAACTCCTCAAAAAAGCCAAAACCAAACTCACTGCCATCGAGTTGATTCCGACTCATAGCAACCCTCTTTGGGTTTCCGAGGTGGGATCTTTATGGAAATAGATTGACAAGTGTTCGTTCCACAGAGTGCCTGCTGGGTTTGAATCGTCAGCCTTCTGGATGGCAGTTAAATGCTTTAGGCACTACGCCACCAGTGCTCCTTATAAAGAACTCCTATAACTCACTAATAAGACACACAGTATAAAGAACAGCTGAATGATGTGGACAAATGCTTCTCTAAGGAAGATATACCCATAGCCAATAATCACATGAAAAAGTGTTTAGCATCATTTGTCAGCAGAAACATGCAAGTTAGCCCACCACAATGGCTGAAGTGGAAAAGACCAGCCACACCGTGGGGTGGACACGCACATGACGAACAGCTGTGATTCTCCAATGATGTTGTTTGCATGGAAAGTGATGAGGCTGTTGTGGAGAAGGCTGGTGGTTTCTGGCAGAAGGAGACACACACCTACCCTTTGGCTCAGCAGTTCCCTTTTAGGTCTTTGCCCAAGAGACTTGGAATCTTATGTTCAGAAAAAGTCTTGTTAAAGAACGCTCGGAGCAGCTTTCTGCATGGTGACCCGACGCTGGCAATGGCCCAGGTGCCCATTGTGCACGGACGCACATGCTGGGGCGTATCCACACAGTGAAATATTATCAGCAGCAAAGACATCAGGATGACACGGCCGAGTCTCTCGTAGACATAGTGCTGGCTGCAAAGGAATGCATGCTCTTTCTATTCTTATTACCTTTTGGAACAAGAAGGCATCATCAGTGGTGGGAATAAATGCCAACAGGGCTTCCCCTTGAGGGCAGTGGGACAGAGATTGAGTGGGTGATGGAGAAGCTGTGTGGCTGGAGAGGAGTATGGCTTACTCAGGTGTGTGCCTTTGTTAGAGCTCATAGTCACTTAAAATCCATAGACTTCACAGTGTGTACCTTTGCCTAACACAGAAACAGCTCTTGATGTCTGGTTAATAGTGTGCATGCTGGGCGTCAGTCCAGATGGAGGACGTCAGTCCAGGTGGAGGGTGTCAGTCCAGGTGGAGGGCGTCAGTCCAGGTGGTGGGCGTCAGTCCAGGTGGAGGGCGTCAGTCCAGGTGGAGGGCGTCAGTCTAGGTGGTGGGCATCAATCTAGGTGGTGGGCATCAGGCTAGGTGGGAGGTGTCAGTCCAGGTGTTGGGCATCAGTCTAGGTCATGGTCATCAGTCTAGGTCATGGTCATCAGTTCAGGTGGTGGGCGTCAGTCCAGGTGGTGGGCGTCAGTCCAGGTGGAGGGCGTCAGTCCAGG